TTGGAAACTTTCTTCCTGGGATTCTTCATCATCGTCATCCATTTTAGCATCCTGATCCTCCAAAGCCGGCTCTTGGTTCCCCAGAGCTTCGGAAAGTCCCGGGTCATCTTTCCCAAAAGTCGTTCGGCCTTGAAGAGGAAATTGCGTATCACTCGGTTTGTTGATCTTGATTACCCGCAAGATTGATGCAGTACCATTGGATTCATTCTCAATAAGATCCTTTGTAGGTACAACCATGAATTCTTTTCTCCACATGAATTCGGGGTGAATGGCATAGCCAAGGAATAAACCAGGGCTCGATGTTGGGTCGAAACGAAGTCCCTCTTTGTTCTTCTTTCTCGGACCATTCCAATAGTCAATAAGACAACCAAAAGGAATGAGGGGACCATCAAATCTCGATCCAAAACGTAGCTCCCATGGTGATTTGTCTCCCCCCATTGCGATGACATTCTGCATGAAGCACCAATGTCGGGCAGCATGTGGCCAGTGCCAATGATTCAGACCTGCTTGGAGCAGATTGACACGAGTGCCTTCAAGGACTGACCGGACTGCTCTCTCAGCTTGGGCGTTGGACTTGGATATGTAATCTCTACTTAAGACATGACGGCACTGAAGGATCTTCATTGCTGAGATTAACTCAGGTGCATTGTCACTGTAGAAGACTCCTATCTTATCTTCATGTCCAACGAAGTGTTTAATTGCCAAGATAGCAGCATTGGTGGTTCGTCTGGCATTGGGGTAGACATACATAAATCCTGTTGCTATGTCCTTCACGACGAGTGCACTTTTCTCATCATCGATTCCCAACTCATCTTCATCTCTGGTGACAATAAAATCAGCAGTGATGTGGTCACCAAATTTCTCAGCTTTAACTTTGGTTGATCCGCCTACAGCTCTTGAGGGTGGCTTGAACATCTTAGCTCTGGTACATATGTCGCAAAAGGGGTTCTTAGGGATGTGAGTCAGCATATGTCGAATGGACTTAGCTTCTTCTTTCAATTCCTTTTCCCCAAGTGACCTTTTGTGAGCACCATCGTCATGGAAGTTACTACTGCTACCCTTGGATCCTTCCACAGGCGGCTCAACCTCCCGGTCGGCATCAGGAACATCAACCTCCTCAACCTCCAAGGGCTGGGGCTCCGGTAAGTCAACGTTAATACCCATGGGGTCATCACCAATGATTTCAATGTCCCCATCGGGCTCCGGAGATTGTTGAGCTTCATCTGATGCCGGGGTGGCAATACTTGGTCTAGGCTGAGTTGATGGAGTGGAAATCGTCTTTGAATTATTTGCAAAGTAGGGTACGTAATCTCTGACAACTAACTCAATGCGTTCTCCATTTGGTTTAACCATGTAAGGAGGTTCACCTTTGGAGCCTCTCCATATGAAGTCGTAACCATCATCAATGCATCTCATCCCGACTGAAATGACAGGAGGTGAGCTTCGAACAAGATATGGGTCAATGGTCTTGCCTAACTTTGGAACAAATACTTTTCCTTGTTTCGATGACGAACTTTCACCATTGGCAGTAATCATGCGAATGGGATTGTTGGAGTAGTATCCATAGTCATCTGGCAATTCACTATCATTGACAAGATCTTGAGCGCTCCCCGTATCTGCAATCCAGTCAAGTTCGAGGTCGATCGCTCCCTTCACGTCTTCTCTACATTCCGCAGGGGTGGCTTTGATTCCCTTTGGGATACATTCATTGCAACCAAAATCTGTGTCACATAAATAGGCACATTTGCATTCTATTCCCCGAAGACAATTGGAAACAGATTCTGCCAACATGGTACCGGTCAAAGCGGCATCATTCACAGCAAGTTGATCAACTTCAAACTGATGTCCCCATGGAAAGGTAACCTTATCCTTGGTGACTGCGTTTCCAATTGGCCTCAAGTTCCCTCGGACTTTAACATGAGATACGTCCGGCGAATCATCAAAACGAATCGATGGACAAAATACTCTTGGTTGAGGGATACAAAATGCCTGAGACACGGATGCAAGCATGGATGCAACAAGACAAACTGCGGCAGGAGACGGCTTAGATGAACTGGCCCCGGATCCTTTAGACTTCGGGGATTTCGGGCTCTTGGGGCTCTTAGAGCGGCTAGAGCTTCGGGATCCCTTCCTTTTCGGGTTCTTGGGATTTCTCTTTTTATTTTTGCTTTCGCTACTGGCCGAACGGGCAGGAGTAGCTTGTCTTGGTTTTCCCACTGAACCCTCATGAAGGAATTTGCAATCAGCTCCTCTATCGCAACGTCCCTGTTTCCAAAACTTGCAAATCTTCTTACCTTTCCCCTTTGGTCTGGGAGAACCAGAACGTTCATTTGAGCGACCTCTGGTTTTGCTGGGTTTGCGACTTCTATCACGTGGCTTGGGGACTTCATGCTTGTAAGTACAGTTGTCCTTGCTACAGCCCCCCTTATTCCATGCCACACAATACCCCTTGGGGATGAATCCTGTCTTGCCCTCGACTGCGGGAGCGGAGGGGCGACCGGAACCCGAAAGACCTTTGGCAACTCGATCACGATTTGCCTCCAACCTCTCACGGTCAAGGTGGCGTCGCACGGCAGAAACAAGGAAACTGTAGTTTCGTTTTTCGGTTCCTTCATCAGCTCTATGATACTCATTCATGTCGTGTTGGATGGCCTTACAATTCTTCACTTGTTTGTAGAAGAGTGTCTCCAATACACTTTCATCAGGAGTCTGGACGATACCAGCCAACACTTGATCCCAGTTCGAAATGAAAGACTTCAAATTCTCCCCACGCAATTGGACACTGAACAAATCTTGAAGGGCATAGGTTGCTCCGTGCTTGATGTTGGTACTAAAGTGGTCGTGCAACATGAACAACACTTGTCTCCCTCTTACAATCCGTCCAGCGGTGGCTTCAGTCTCTTTGAAGGTATCTACCTTGCGGGCGAAGTCACCAGTGATAATATTGGTGAGTGCAGAAAGTAACTTTGCATCAAGTGTCGCAAACGGCGCAACCTTCCGGAGCGCTTCAAGGGTCTGTTCTTCTTTCCAAGAATCACTAATCCACTTGAAAGCACTATCGGGATCGGTTGATGCTGCTACAACTGCTTCTCTAGTCTTAATTCTCCAATTGCGATAGGTTTCTGCCAATGGGAATGCTGGGATCTTGATGGTGTCAGCTTCCTTGACCTTGGGTTTGTCATCATGCCTTGGATCAATGTAGCCACCTAGAAACTTGATCATCCTTCGCCTGAACTTCTCATCATCATCATCATCGGGATCATCATCACCGTCATCCCCACCGTCAGGAGGATTGGGACCGGCCCTAGCTTTTCTGGGTGCCTTACGGTTCTTATCCCCTTCAGGTTTATCGATTGGATCAGGTGGTGATGGCGGTCCACCTCCCCCGTTCCCTCCGTTGCCATCTCCTCCATCCCCTGGATCGTTCCCATCAGGCGCATCATCGCCCCCGGGCTCGAAGTACTCCATCTCATCTGGGCCTAGTTCGGTCGGGGCATATTGATTGGTCGGCGCAGGGGAATTGACACTATCCATGGAATGGTTATCTCGGCGTCGATTATTGGCCTCTCCTCCCGAAGGGCGTTCCTCAGCGGAAGACCTTGCAATATCCGATTCCTTCTTCACTTGTACTGGGACTCGATATGATGGATCATGATAAATAATCTCAATACCATCCTTTTCATAAGTTTCAGTGCCAGGTGAAGTAAAGTTAATCGGCGTTCTTGCAATTGGAGGTCGGGCTACATTGGTTGGAGGTGCTGCGGGTGCAGCCTTGCGGGTCGGTGGAACAAACTCGAAATTTGGAATCTCCGTTGATGCATGGGTTCCGGCTGTCATAGTCATGGCGGCAGTCTCGACAATAGGACTTGGACGAACCTGAGCAAATTGGGAATCGAGCATACTTTGCAGTTTCAGATTGTGTTGCATCTGGGCTTGTACCATGTGTTCAAGCTGTGTAATGCGTTCATTCTGAACCCTTCTCTCTTCCTCAGCTGCTCTTCTCAATTCAAGGATCTCTTGCTCCTTACTTGATAGTGAGTGTCGATGGTTAGCATCAATGACACGCTGATATGCCTGAATTTTCTCATTCATCTGAGCTTCACGGAACCTTACGTGTTCGTGCGCCTCATGCTGTAAGTTCTCTTTATATTGGGCACCCGCATTTAAAAGTTCTTGTTCTTTGATTCTGATAGCATCTAGGGCCCTCTGACTTTCAATGCCCTCGCGGACTCGCAGAGCTTCCTTCAACTCCTCAGTCTTGGCTGTGTGGACGGCTTCGGCCTGAGCTTCGGTGTGAGCCAACACCTCACGATGACGGAGCTCGGCCGCTGTTTCCACAAGGCTTGTCACTGCAGGGTCATGTGAATGGACATGCAAGTTCTGCTCGACAAAATTGACTTGAGGATTATCCATCTGCACATTGTGATGAAATGTATTGTGAACATTCATTTGGTTCAACTGGCGAGTCGGCGGCCCACCCTCCCGAGCGGCTTGGGGAACACAACCACGGTGGTTGAAACCCACATGGGAAGGCACAATTGCGTTACCCATGGGTGGGAAGTGGCGGCGTTCCCTTAGGCTTCGTGACTTATCGGAAGATGGTGGGATGCTTATATCAAAATTAAATGGGGTGTTACTTATAGGCAAGTTACCGGGATTAGCCATGGCGGCGTCAGAGGACATGCGCCCGGTGCCCTCGGTGGAAGAACCCGAGGGGGCAGACATTGCCTACAAAAGAGAAGTTAGCTTACGGCTGATAACCTGTTTGACAGATTAAACAGCCCAAAACCACCAGCATACAAACGCTTGTTTTCTTGAGCCATACATGACGAGTATAAGCAGTGAGACCTATGAAAAACAAATCCAAATGATCCAATTTGATCCAATACTTGGTGGCTCATCTCAGTTAGTAACTGGGCTATAACCCCGGTTATAAGTAGGGTTGGTAGAATTAGTCCAGTTATGATTGCGTTTATAATTCACTAACGGGGATGAGCCACGAAGTAGGCTGCAAGAGTCTCGTGAATTATCTCCCCTATCTTGACCCCAGGCGCTGGTAGCCGGTTCAGAACCAGCTTCGAAAAGCAAAGTTTTAAATCACTTCGTCCAATTCAGCTGCATCCAATAATGGGTCATCATACCTCACAGCACCGTGACATGTGCCAAGGCATGTCCGTAGTCAGTGAGCACACTCCGATACACAGGAACAAACAGGACTGCCTGGTGGCTTCAACATCAAAAATATCGAAAATAATCACTGATACGCTTGAGTGAGCATCGTCCCATGTTTGGAGATGTAGCTTACACGAAAAAATGACCCGATATGAGGCGATCTGAATGTTTAAAATAAGTGGTTTTCCAAGATCCATTTATCAACACACATCATGATGTTGGAGCATGTGAATCCAATGTGTTTTTCCCGTTCAGCCTGCCATACTTCCGTCCACAAGTTGGTTGAATAACCATCCCACAATCGAAGCTCATCCTCCACAAGCTACACAAGGTTGTCAAGATCGGTCGATGTTGCTTTAACATAATTGTCAAGTTTGGCTCTCTTGACAGATCAATAACATTTATATAGAACTAAGTAATATGCATGTTGGTGTGGATGGGAGGTTTATTTATCTTTTTTATATTAATACTGGTTGGTGGTATACCTACCCCCCCTGAAAAATATGTTCGTCAGTTGGGATGATGACATTCACAATACATGGGGAAAAATCATGTTCCAAACCAGGAATCTACGCAGGGAAACCAATTTGAAACCCAACAGACGCAGGGAAACCAGTTTGAAACCCAACAGAAGTGCCCGAACAAAATCACCCAGTTTTGTAAGTAAATATACCAAACATGGAGCATATGGGATATATATCATAATTACACGTTTTATGTACGCCATGGTTTTCGAGAATTCATGTCACGAAAACCATTTTTCCCCTGCGGTGAGGCACAGGTGGTAGACGTCAATGGAATCGCCCAAGTGTTTTTTGTAGTCCACGTTCCTGCACGTGGAAACGTCGTCAAAAGGTGGGAAATCATGGGCAATCCCGGAACTACATGATATGAATGGGGAAATCTTCGAGCTGAATCGTGGATCTTCCAGCATGGAAAATTACCAGTGGGAAGTTGTGAATATCACCCACAATATGGCAATATGGGCTAGTTACTTCTGCTTAGAGATGAAGTTTATATGACAAAGAACGGTGATCATGGGACATAACACATGATATGGACATATCTTATGGCGATGTGTTTATAAGGGATAGAATAGAAGTGAATTTAATAATTAAGGAAAACAATGATATGTGTTTGGGTACATTCAGTTGAATGTTATTTTTTCTATGTAAACAATGAGGCTTTGAAGCGTATTTTTTTTGGGTATCATATTTTCAGACAAACTCAATCGATCCGTGTTTTGGAAGCACAAGATGAGGATTAACGATGCAAATTGGGGGAGGGAAACATTTTTGGCAGATTATTTGCCAAATGAAATTGGTAACTTCTGATTGGGAGGTTGCAGTAGATTGTCAATGGTAATTTGCCACAAGGGTTACGTATAGTTTTTGGCCATCCAAAATTCAAGGTACCCAAATAGACTCCAGCAATCACACATTGCCGGCTGGAAAAAACATAAATTTACACGTGTTTTTTTCTCTCAAGCATGTGCAGTGTCATGTACAAATGCCATTGCTATATGACGCTATAGGCTATATGACGATATAGGCTATATGTTCTTTTGCCGGAAAGCCAGGTTTGGTCCTTGAAGTACGTATTACTTCATGCATCATGGCACGTTGACAAGTTTGATGGTTTCTTCACTGAGTTGTTTTCAGGGAATACCTACAGGAAACCATTAGTTCTCTCATCAAGTATAAGGTGTTCCTGTATTGTTGCTCCCTTGAAAAAATAAAACTATATTAACTTACATTAAATCATACTAATAAAAAAACGGTATTAATTAACTAAATCATATTGAAGTCAATTATGTTATATTGAAGTTTGTTAAAGTATATTCAATCATATCAGATTATATTGTGTTATGTTTTGTGAAATCAAATGGAAAACTATACTACACTATATATTCTATATAATTATGTTATATTCAATTTTGGTAAATAAAATTATATTATATACATTAAACTAAATAGTATTCATTTGTATTTTAAAACTTTATAACATATATTATGTTGGTCTTCTAATAAATAATTATTACAATTTTTTTTTAACTTATATCAAAATAAGTTATTATATAGATATATATGATAATACTGGGTGTAAATACTATGAGTGATAATAAATATATATATATATATATATGGAAAGTATATAATATCATATGATATGACACTCGTGTTGTCATTATCTATACTAGGCCCCGTTGTCATCCAAGCATCAGCCGTCGCAGAATTCCATCCGCCGGAGAGAAAACCATGGCGTGCACTCGCGGCAGCGCACCTGCGTTGTGTGTGGAAAATCTTTTGCCCTGGATGAGAAGGAAAACCCCTTTGGGAAACCCATGATACACATGCATTTTGAAAGATTTTCGAGATGAAACCTGGCAAACTGGCAACGTTTTACTTTTCATTCTCCCTTTGACCAAGCTGATAATCCATCAACCTGCAAAGAATGAGGAAGGAGTCCTGACTTTCTCAGCAGCCAATGGTTAGCTTTCCGTAAGCAATAAACACTACGGATAGGCACCTAACAACTGGCAATTTCCAAAGAAATTGCTGGCGATTCCCGAAGAAATTGCTAAGTCAAAGGAAATTGTGGCCGGATAAAACACCAAAGAAAGTCAAATAAAGCACGCAAACTAGCGCCACAAAAGGGTATACTTCCTCATCTAAGGAAGGCAAATCACTCAGGCTGCAACTATTGTGCATCTCAGCTGTGTATGCCTATGCAAATGCAGGCAAATACATTTGGCGATACAATCGCATTGGTGTTATGGCCGGGATACTCCTACATGTATATCTACACATAGAGATACATGTATATATATATATATATATACATATACATAAAAGACATATATATATATATATATGTGTGTGCGCTTGAATGAAAGTCAATTGCGTGCATGTTGTATGTATAGTAGTGCCTTTCTCTCTATCTCTTTCTCCCGTTCTCTGTTTCCAACTTCATCTATGTGTGCACTATGATTTTTATCGCGCTGTCAAATGCAATCATTTATAATGAAAAACATCATTCAGTATGTATCACTATTATATGTTTTGAGAGTACATATTGCATATGTACATATGGATATTCTTGTATACATATGTAAATATAAATATATATATATATATATACATTTTAAAAAATGTATATTATGTATGCAGACATATATATATATACATATGTATACATGCATACGTACATATACATATACAAATAAAAACATACATAAATACACGTATGCATATACAGCTTGAGTATTGTGCAAGAATTCACTGTATAAGAATTTGAGGGGCTCGAATCCAAGGCGGGCTATATATTTTCAGATGTACTGAACACATAGGACTTGAAGAATTTGAGGGACCCTGGAATAGGATTGCCAAATTCTTAAGTTACTCCTTATACGTGAGGTTTGCAATTCCCCTTTGCGTTTCTTTTTTTTTGCGGCGTGATCCTTTATATGGACTTATGGGATGAAATCGGGTTTTGCAGAAAAACAACTTTTCAGGCTCGATTTTTCGCGCATGCTTGGACTGCTTCCAATCCACACAAAATCAATATGTGGGTAGACTTGGGGACCTGAAATATTGTTTTCTTTAATAATTTGAAGAAAACTGAGGCTTTGCAGAAAAGCTCCGAAAACTTTTTTTTCGCGCATGCTTGGAGTGCTTCCAATTCGGACCTGGAACATTGTTTACCAGAAAACCCGGTCCAAAGGACGATGCCGGGAATCGAGCCCGTGACCCCAAATCCTCAGCCCAACACGCTACCAACTGAGCTATGGGATCTTGGCCTCCTTTTCCATAAAAAATGCAATCAACAACAAGACTAGCTAGAGTAAGCGAAAAAACAACTTTTAAGGCTCTTTTTTTTTGCGCGCTAACCTTATGAAACTCAGACTAGCCCAGCTTTGCAAAAAAACAACTTTTGAGGCTCTAAAATATTTTTTTTGCACACTAACCCTTTGAAACTCAGACTAGCCCAGCTTTGCAAAAAAAACAACTTTTGAGGCTCTAAAATATTTTTTTGCACACTAACCCTATGAAACTCAGACCAGCCCAGATTTGCAAAAAAACAACTTTCAGGTTCTAAAAAAATGTTTTTTGCACACTAACCTTATGAAACTCAGACCAGCCCAGCTTTGCAAAAAACAACTTTTCAGGCTCTAGAAAATCATTTTTTCGCATTCTTCTTCTCAAATCTGCCAACTCCACCTTGTTACCTCACTTTTGCTTGCTCCAAATTATGCAGATGCCTGCGATACAAAACTAAGAATGCCCTAAGAATTTGAGGGACCCTCAACCTGTTGTGGTGTAAATTTGCCCGCATTGAAAAATAAGAATTTGAGGGACCCTGGGCCTCAAGCTTTCGGATTCTTAACCAGCGCTCGGGCTGTATTTGCATGTATGCGTACATGCACACACACACGTAAATATATATATATATACAGTATATAATATATATATACACAGTATGTAATAGCATATATATATATATGAGTTAATATGTATATATATATACATGATTTAATATGTATATTTATTTATATATATATATAATTTAATAAATATATATATATAGTTTAATATATATATATGTATGCATTTTGTGTGTATGTGTATATGTAAATGTATCGGTATGCCCAAAACAAATGCCCCCGAGTCCGTCATCCCAGCTATCCCAGCTATCCAAGTGACATCCAAACTCTTCGATGCGCGATGCCGTGTAGCGTCGGCGTCTTTGGATGTCACCTCGAGGTTCACCCATAAGGTGTGCATAATTCCGAACGTTGGTTGTTGAGTTAATGGGTTAGCTGATTTTAGTTGTTGGAGTTGTGGTGATTGTAAGATATTGTAACTATGGTCCATGAATTTTGTTAATCCCATGTCCTTTAATGGCAACGAGCCCTCTGCTGGTATTCACTTTTAAACATCTGAAGTGTTCAAAACCCTCTGTCATTTCACTATACTGATTGGTTTACAAGGATTCCCAGGTCATAGATAATGATAACCCGAATTTGGGTAGTATATAACCCCCCTATAATCATTAACCAATAAGGGGTTTGGACGCTGCTCACGTCTTAGCCCAGAAGTAATAAATAAACCACAAGTTTTGCTCATCAAAAACTAGGTTTATAGAAAACTTGTTCATTTGTAGAAACCCACAAGTTTTGTTTATGCTGTTCACAATAAATCAACGCAATTTCTTGATGCTGGATTGACGTTCGTGTGCATACTGGGGTCGGTTTTGGGATTAAACAATCTGATACGGATTGCAACCAACCTTTCCGTATATGCACAAACCCAGCTGAAATTTGTAATTAGTACACAAACATTGTATAAATGTCAACACACCACTTTGGATCGTAATCAGAGGTAGGGCATGAACCCACCAACCAGCAACATATGCAGGTGTGACTGAAGAAGACAAGGTTTAACCCCCAAACCCAATCTTTCATTAAAAAAAACATGAAAAACGGCAACTGAGGGTCAACACCAGTTCTGGTGTAAACCCACATGTGCGATCATGTGCGTATATTCAATTTATTGATCCAGCTCCATGGTTTTGTGTCAAAGTTGGGCCAAAAACCCTGGATCCGTGATCCCCAACGACAAGCTTGGGAGGATTTCTCTCTTTCAACCAATGTTTTGTTGAGTGATGGGTAGCCTGTTGTGTTTTTAAAAAAAAGTGAAACTCGTTCGAATGTAAGTCGACTTATCTGCCAGTCTTCCGTTACTCATGGGATCTCCGGTCTACAGAATCTCTCTGTGTGTTCTCAACAGGTGGGAGCAAAACAGGAACTGATTCATAGGATCCATGGTGCTGGTATATTAATGCTAACATAAAGGGGGTATATTGATGGGATCCATGTTACCGTATATAGCAGCACCATGGATCCGTCATGGGATATGTACCGGGGCCTCTCTTCATCTCAACAGCTGCTTTTCGGAAGAGCTCCCCGCAAAAAATCATGAGAGCTACCGTTTCCACTCTCCCGTTCTCAAAGTATGTGGCCCTTTCGGATGCCAAGGCAAAGGCAAATCCAGAAACTATGTCCAGCGGTCACCAGCTGCGATCACCAACGACATAGCAATCACCACATTTTTTATCTGAAAATTGGATACACGGATATCGGATAGGTACTCAAACGTGGCAATGGAGACTCCCCCATTAACACATGATTTAAATCAGCCATTTATAGAATATTTAATACCCCCTATGATAAATGAATAACACCATTTATGGTTAGTTTTCATGGTTGGTTTAATCAGTGGAATACTCGCTATAATTAACTATACCCTCTGGTAAACTAACATAACTATGGAAAATCACCATTTTTGATGGGAAAATCCACTATAAATTGCCATTTTCAATAGCTTTTTGTTAGTTTACCAGAGGGTAAATGGTGTTATTCCATTGCCAGGTTTGACCAGGGGAGGATTCCCAAATCCACTGATTCAGAATCCGTTTCCCTCTGGAAAGCTGGGAAACTGAAAATGGATGGGTCAAATCCGAATCTTTTTCAGACACCTTAAATCTTATTAACCCCATAGAAAACCATAGAAAATCACTATTAAACCACCATTAACTACAAAAATCTCACATATTTAGGGCTGAGCATTTCCCGTTCTATTCCTGTACTATCCCATTTGTTTATATTTGTTTTACATTCCACTTTCAAACACACCCAAATATCAGTTGCTTACATACAATATACCCCATGAAATATCACATGTCTATCATCACACCCCACGATATATGCCCACCCAAAGCAACATATCCAGCTGCGATTTTTCCACCGCCAAGCCGCTGGTCTTGAAAAGGTTGAGGCACTGCTCAATGACATTCAGCTCAACCATCCTCTTATGTCGCTCATCTGGACCTACAGCTGGAGGGATATGGGAATATATTAATGGGAATTTCAGGATCCTTAAATGGAGGTACTGTACCATATAAGGCCATATTTTGTGGTGATATTCGCTTACATAGGCCTTATATAGGCCTTATATATGGTAGGTACCTTCATTTTAGGATCCTGAAATTCCCATTGAATATATGGAGCCCCGGAACACAAACATAAATGTGGGCATATGGGTTGGGGACATGTATGTGAAACACTATACTAGGGCATAATTATGTGGGTTAATTTTGGGAATGGCACCAGTGTCAAGTAAATCGGTAACACTGTTGAAAATTATGCGTGTGTATACATATATATATATGTGTGTGTGATATTTCAAGCCACTTGTTGATCTCAAACCCGAAAGAACACAAACAACTTTACCACCCCGGGGTCCATCAACTCTTGCCATATACATGAATGATACAAACAAAACAGTGTGTATATAATGTACAGTATATCATATATATAAGAGTTCCAATCACAAGTGGCGCACCCCGTTATTATAGAAGCCACGGATTTATGACACCTGGATTACATAAACCTATTTTCGCAAACCATGCCCAATTTACCATATTTAATTCTTTGGAAGGAACTACGAACAATATATCAGCATGGGGTTAATAGCTATGAGTTTAGCATGGTTTACCACATATTGGTCTATAAATGAGATAATTACACCGCATTACACCGCTGTGCGCATGTATATACATGATTATACATGCATATTTCACAATACTTGACCATATTTCTAGATACTGTATGCGCTTTACTAGCAGTTGATTGGAGAACTCCAATTTGAACTGCTGCACTGGTGGGCTTTTAGCAAAAAGTCCCTTGAAAAAGGGCGGGAGGTGATATCCTCCGGCCAAGCACGGCCATGGAAAACATCCCATTTATATAGTTCGATGCTTTACCCACCCATAAATCCATTTAGTTCGGGGATTTCCCATTGCCGTGTAAATCGATTAAATCACCGTTTGTATTCTATAAACCCCATGGCTCGCGACACATCGTGCATCCCATCATCCCATTTGTCATACCTATGTCATATCAAATCTCCATTGCCATGATCATTGTTGGTTCAATGATGTTGCATAAATCACTGTATGTTCTGAGGTTTTTCCATGTGTTTCCATACTTTTCCACACACACACATACATATCTATCTATCTGTCTATCTATCTATCTATCTGTCTATCTATCTATGTATCTATCTAGCTATCTATCTGTATGTCTATCTATCTATCTATCTATCCATCTATCCATCTATCTATCTATCTATCCATCGATCTATCGATCTATCGATCTATTGTTCTATCTATCTATCTATCTATCCAATCTAATCTAATCTATCTAATCTATCTATCTATCTAATCTATCGATCTAATCTATCTACCTATCTATCTATCTATCTACCTATCTATCTATCTATCTAACTATCTATCTATCTATCTATCTATCTATCTATATATCTCTCTCTCTATCTACCTATCTATCTATCTGTCTATCTATCTATCCATCTGTCTATCTATCTATCTATCTAATCTAATCTAATCTAATCTAATCTAATCTATCTATCTATCTAATCTATCTATCTAATCTATCTATCTATCTCTATCTACCTATCTATCTATCTATCTATCTATCTATCTATCTATCTATCTACCTATCTATCTGTCTATCTATCTATCTATCTAATCTATCTATCTATCTATCTATCTAATCTATCTATCTATCTATCTATCTATCTATCTAATCTATCTAATCTATCTATCTCTATCTATCTAATCTATCTAATCTATCTAATCTATCTAATCTATCTAATCTATCTAATCTATCTAATCTATCTAATCTATCTAATCTATCTAATCTATCTATCTATCTATCTATCTGTCTATCTAATCTATCTATCTACCTATCTATGTATCTATCTATCTATCTATCTCTATCTATCTATCTATCTGTCTATCTATCTATCTATCTATGTTAGGTTGCTTAGCGTGTTTAGGCTTGGGCATGGATCTTGTTTTAAAGATCTTGCCATCTTTGAAAGATTTTGCCATCTTGTGGCAAGCCAAACTGCTGTTGGCTAAACAAAATCCCTAAAGGAAGTCGGCCATGCTTCTCTGTTTCTTCTTGTCCACCTCCTTTTTCTTTGTTTTTTTCTCTTTTTTCTCCTTCTCGGTCTTCTCAGGTTTCTCCTGTTTTTCATTCTTGTCCGGCTTGGACTTTGTCAGCTTCTCCGTTGCCGTTGCTGGCGCTTTTCTTTTTCGTCCTGTGGCTGGGTCAGCTGAGGATGCTGGCTCCGGCTCCAGCTCCATCTCATCCTTCTTCTCATTTGTCTCCGTCGCATTCATAGGTTCCACCTGCTCCTTGTCAGCCGCGGAGGAGGTGTCCATCGTCTCAGGCTGTTTGGCTGCCTCAGGCTACAACGACATCGCCTCAGACTGCAACGGCACCGTCTCAGGCAAAGTCTCATCAGGTTTCTTCTCAGGCACAGGCATCATCTCTGGCTGCTTCACCTCAGGGCTCGGGTCAGGCATAGAGGATACCTCCATCTCCATCGTCTCAGTTGTCTTCTCCACCATCTCGGCTGCCTGTTCTGCCATCTTCATATCAACCTTCTCATTACTTTCACTCTTTTCATTCTTCTCATCCTTCTCAACCTCCTCATCCTTTTCATCCACAGCCGATGTGTGCTCCATTGGGTTCTTCTCCTCAGGTATGGCTCCAGTGGTGCCCGTCTCATCCATGGCGGTAGCCTCCATTGTGCTCTGAACTTGTTCAGGTTCATGAGCATTAAACATATAAACATATTTCACATGGGTATGGGGCAACGAAAAGAAACCGGATTCGTACTAGTATAAACTGGTAACCACGCAACAGGGCTGTTGACGGACAATGGATTACGAACTACTCTAAGGACAAAGATCCAAGGGTCGTTGTTTTCTTTTGTGCATTACGGTTGACCTGATCTGATCATCACATTGATTTTGGATTAGTTTGTATTCCCGACCACAAACCCAAATCCAAATACCCACACGCCCAATCCCAATCCACGATTCAGAGTCGGCCCAGTGACAACAAGGGACTTCCGGGCGCCACACATATAAACATTGTTTTGAATTTGCTTGGGAACCACAATCATATTTTATTAGCAATACAACATCCCATTGGGCCCACTGATCCATCACGGCACGGCGGCTGTGGCAATAGCTGACAAAGTCCTTGAAGAATTCGGAGCTTCATCTTCATCAGATATCACTTCAACCGAATCGGCCTGCTTTGCTCACTGGCGGAGCAATTTCACCAAGCAGTCTACATAGATGGTGTCCTGATGATGAGTCGTTGTTACGGGGTAACAATATCTAATTGCAAAAATAATATCAGGATCCATCTATGTAGATTTTCCTGGCTGGACAGGACCAGAACTAGATTGTGGGATTACTTATTGAAGTTATTTCGATGTATGATGTTGGTTCCGTAATTCCGTAAATTCCCTATCCGTAAATTAGAATATTTTGAAATGGTTATCAACAATCCAGTCGATAGGGCCCGGCCGGGCCCCATTAATGAATCATTAAAGTCAAGATAGATTAAGATTATTATTAGGCCCCTGGCCCCTGGAGCTAACTTGCAATCATGCCCCCTCCATGACTTAACTGATTACTAGTAACCATATTTGAATCGTATCCGTATTTGAACCAAACTCATCTGGATGGTATGGTTAGTCTGATTTGTCCCTGCACTGTTCTTTGAAACTGTAATGAACTAAAATAGATTGAACATTGATTAGAATGACCAATTGAATAATAATTGGCTATCAAGTTCTAAATTCCATGAGTTGTTTGGCAGGTTGGCAAATTGGCAATGCCAATGCCAATGCAAGTGGATTGGCCAATGAAAACACTAATGCTGACACAGTACACATTCCTTCAAATTCCTACATTTACAGATCGGACAGTTTGGCTGGACCGGGTTGGTCGGGTTGGATAGTGCTCGAAATACGAGATTAACACTATCAATGACCCGGACTAGGACTATTGTTGGCTATCTACTGATGCCATCACTCATACCGCCTACTTCTGATCAAGACTCTGATTGTTTCTCATTTGATCCAAATTGGACAATGGGTCCGCAGGTCCTCTAGGTTGGGGCTATTACTATCGTCTATTGTGTTCAGTTTATGAATATACTTATTCACTTATTATTCATTCAGAATCCTAAATTCTAATTGTGAATCCTGAATGAATCCTGAACCCTGATTCATGATTCACGATGCCTCATGATGCAGGACCAGGATTATGTTAACTAAGACAACATTGAATTGAATATATAACTGAATAAATAATTTTGAATTTGATCTGATTGAGGCTGATTGATCTGATTCTGATTTGAATACCCCGGATTCGATTCGATAATAACCTGATCTATCAATAACCTTTCAATCTGTCAATAATCTTTCTGACATGGCATTGTCATTAATTCTCAGCTGAATCAGCAAATGCGATCATCGCCGAAGTAGGTTTGCGAACGCCTTCCACGTGCTGGAGATATGGCAAAATTGCCAGAGCCGATCTCGTAGACCAGTTTGGCCCACGCTCTGTGGCCAAAGCTGTGCCACGGTGTCATGCCTGGGCATCTATCGCTGGGTTGTAGCACCAGTGAAGGTGGATCACGTGGGCCGCAGCTGTCAAAGGCAAATTGATGCCACCAGCGAGCAGTCGCTGAATCATCACCACACCACAGTGCGAGATCTCAATGTTCCAAATACCATCTAATGGCAATTTGTGGATTTATTTCGGGCAAACATTTAAACTATAAATCCCGTTCCCTTTAGAATCAAAAAAGGTGAGAAATTCAATTGAATCTAAATTAAATCATCACAGTCGCAGCCACTGCCCAGACTGCCCAAATCCCCGGTAAAATAACATCACCATCTGTCCCTAAAATCTCTAAATCAAATCTATCTATCTGTC